CCTGCCTCTAATAAACTTTAAAAGGGAATGTACTGGCCCACAGAGTGAAGAATTCCAGGGGTGAACTGAGGCTTTGAGCGTACTTGGTCAGGGCCCATCTGAGCCTGGTCTCCTCTCTATATTATTTTTTTTTACCATGAAGTTGGCTTTCCTTATGGCAAATGGAAGCAACTGTTTCAGGCTCCGATCTGCATTTAACCCAATGCAAATCGAGGGAGGGTCTCTGGGTCCTAGAATCCCCATTAGATTCCTCTGACCATGCTCATGGGTCAGCACACTTAGGTCTGTGTGTTCACCCTGGACTCAATCAGTGAGTCCAAGAGATGGAATGCGGGGACTGGATTGACCTGGGTCTCTCCTTGTGATACTTGAACTGGGGGTAGGTGCAGCTTTCCTAGAGGCCTGTGCATCCACAAATGCAAACGAGGGGCAACTGGTTGAGGAAGGCGAAGGTGCAGGCCCAGAGGCACCAGCAAGGGAGGACTGCCAATCATCTCTGGCTAGCCTTGAGTGCACTGCCACTCCAGCCCTTTGCTCCCATCCCGATGCATTCTTCATCCTCCTCACTATGGGTCATGTTGTCTTGGTCCATCTGTTTTCTTCTGTTTTGTCCTCCTCTGTAGTGTCTCAAACACATGCAAACTAACAAGTTAACACTTTCCAATATGTGGAAAGACAGTGGTGAGGACGATGAAAAACAGTAGAGAAGAAATATACTCAAAAGTATATCTCACCCCCTCAATGCAAAAGCTTGAGGTTTAATTTTAACCTTTATGAGATTATAGGGATGAGTGCAAGAATACATTCTGCAAATAAAATATATATAAAATATTTATATGATCTAAAAGCCAAGCTGGATGATCTTCCTGGGACAGAATAGAGTTGTTCTCATTGACTGCTGAAAGTCACTTAGAGAAATTCAGCGAATCACAGCTCCCTAAATGAAGCACGATCTTATTTCTTGGAAAACTTTGTAAGCAAGAGATAGATATTTGTAAAACATTCGAGTGAAGCACATGGTGCGTAAAGTAACCAAACTTCAAAGTATCTGCTCCATGTACCAGTGAAACCTGAATCTCATGGACTCTCACGCCCTTGCTGTGAGGGTGGCCAGATGCTAGGCAGACGGGCCTTCCTGTAGAACAAGCTCATACAGCCATGCAGAGACACTGACTGCCAGTGGATTAGTCATTTCCTGTTCCACAATGCACCCCCCCACTAGTACCCCCAGTCTACATCACCATCACCGTTATCTCTCGGACCCCCAACCTCCACCACCAACATCACCATCTCCATCACCCACAGCATCCACCGCCATCGGCATCAACCAGACACCAACATCAACCATGAACATCACCATCAACACCAGCCTTGACCACCACCACCAATGCCAACCACTACTAACACCACCACCATCAGACCATCTGTCACCACCACAGTCACCATGCCACTATGAGTCTTATGGTTTTATTCCCAGTTTGCTTTTCAAAATACCTTTCCAGGTCTCGTTAGATACATCTCATGGTCTCATTAGATCTCATGATTGGGTTGGCAGCTCTGGCCTCATTCTCAATTTATCTGTGAATTAAGTTCCAGAGAGGTGAAGTGGTTTGTGCCTGGACACCAAAGTGGTCTGTCTGATTCTAAAGTTAATGCTTTCTTCAATGTAACGCACTCTCCGTGAGACTGAAGAATTCCTAACTTCTGATGTGAACAGCTTTGGTCCTAAATTTAATGGAGTCAGTGTATTTAAAATGAATTGGCCCTTTGGGACCATCTATCTCAACTCCCATATATTCCAGGTGTGTAACTAATCACTCAAAGTTTATGTGACTCCACAGAAGGTTAATCCCGCACATTTGTTCCAAATTCAGTCTTTTTCTCGTGACAAGAAACTATTGATTTGCATGTGCCCTGGAGTCTCCTGGATTCCTCTGGGAACACTGAAGCCCACGCCCTTCCTTGGAGCACAGGATTTGCTAGCAAAGGGGCAAATGGCCTTCTTCTGCCACTGTCTGTTCTCCAATCATCAGAAAGCCCCAGATGGACACAGGCTACTGGCTTCCAGTCACAGAGCCATCATCCAGCAGGCTCAGCTCAGTGATGCCTTTCTTGGTCCCAAGAACAAGGGTGTGACCTCTCTGTTAAAGTTCCAGGTAAATCCAAAGCTGATCCCTTCAGTCTTCTGCCTTCTCTCTCAGTGGATTCCCTGGGTTCCAATTTGAGGTCCACTCTTTGCACACTTTGACCCTAGGCTGGCCTGGCCGGGCTGCAGGACATCTGTGTTGCTAAGGGTCTGCGAGGAGCATTTGGCCACCTTGCTCTCGAACGTTTTCTTTTTGAGCTCATACGTCAAATTTGAATAATAAATATCTTCAAAGGACTTATCATTCTTCTTGAGGATGTTGCTGGCTAACCGGAAGAAGATGATCACCCCATAGATGCCGACGATGGTGAGGATGTACCAGGCAGCACTTGTCCCCTCCGGCAGCCGCAGGAACCTGGTGGAGTTGGTGCCGTTCCTCTCCTCCATGGGGTCACTCAGGAGAGAGCTGGCCTGGGTCTGGGGTGTCCTCGTGATCACTGAGAAACAAAGAGGTCCAGATGAGATGCAGCATCCTGGGCTGAGGCCCACCTGGCCGAGCCACACCAGTGAGAGTGCTACTGTCCCCTGCAGCTGCTGAAAGGGGTGTTCTCTACGACATGGACGGGAGCCCAGAAACTTGTGCGTCCATAAAGTTTCAAAAATCAAGAGTTCTCAACACCAAGTTCTCGAATAGGAGACATGAGATCGTTTCTACTGTCCCCCCAAAAAGTGCAGTAAAAGTATCAGTAGGATTTCTTTGTGAATGGGTAACCTATTTGTATGGAAAAAGTAATTGTCAAAACTAACTAGGAAAAATCTGGGAGGAAAAAGTGATGAGTGAATTAACCTAACCAGAAATTTAAAACTAACCAGCCAGAAAGTATGACTTATGTGTATAAGATCATGGCCCAGCTGCGCTTTGCACGGTGCAAAGGAGAGGGATCCAATTCTCCCTGCAAAATCTCCCAGTGAGACTACGATAGCTAAAACAAGGTGTTGTTGATACATAAGCAAAAGTCCAATGGAGCAGAGTGAAGGCACCCCCACAGGCAAGGAACTGGGCTGAGGTAGATAATCAAGGAGAGTTTCTGATCAGGAGGGGGAAAAATGGGCTCTTCAATAAGTAGCATTGGTGCAATAAGCTTTGGACCCACATCTCTCATCATGGGTACCAGGACAGTCCAGATAAATCAAAGAATTTCACAAACAAAATGAAACAATGTAAAGTCTTAGGAAAAAAAAAAAAACACAACAGATTTTTTTTCCTCTTATCATCTCAGACTGGGATATCCTATCTAAGTATAACCGGAAAATGCAGAAGAGAGAAAGAAAAAGTTAAATTCAACTACATTTAATTTTTAAAAAATTATTGCATAACATAAACTAAAAGACAAATGACAAATCAGAGGAACGATGGAATTCATAGCACTAATTTTCTTAATGGTTCTCGATTTGTAAGAAAAAGTCTGCAACCCTCTAGGAAAAATGTGCAAAAGGGTGGACAAAGAGATCCTAGGGGAAAAGGAACCTTCAACACAATGAAAAGCTCCATATCATTCATCTACTAAAACTACAAGTTATTTTGTTACCGGTCAGGTTTGCAACTAGTGATATTTCAAAATCCACCCTGTGGATGGATACATTGTGGGACAATGAGGCCCCTGTGTAACCGCTGGTCTCAGCATAAAATCATGGAGTATGCAAGGCCCACCAAGGTCTACTGATATTCAAATGCATTTACCTTTGACCCAGCAATTCCACCTCTAGCCATTAATCCTAAAGGTGCTCTGGAACATGGCTGATAGAGCAGAGGAGGCAGCCCACTGTACCCAGGGGTTCTGCATCCGGGGATTCAGAGGGTCACAGATCAAAAATATTCAGAAAGAAAAAACTCCACCAGTACTGAGCATGTATGGACGTTAAAAAAAAATTCTCTAAACAATGCAATATGACAATGATTTATATAGCATTCACATTGTATTAGGTATTATAATTAATTTAGAGAGGACTTAAATTATACTCAAATATTATGCCGTTAAAGGATTTGAGCATATGCAGATTTTGGTGTCTGTTGGGGCTGTGGAAAATCCCCCCATGGAGAGAGAGCAATGACTAGATGCTTAACATAAATCACTGCAGCCTGGTTTGTGATGACTAATGAATGATTGGGAACAGCCAGATTAGTATCCACTGAGGAATGGTTAAATGCATTTTGGAAACTCCATGTATATGGAACCCTATACATTCATAAAAAGGAAGATTTTAGGTATTAAATATTTGATAAGTAAAAAAAATAAGCTAAAGCCCACATAGTAAGCAATCAAGAGGGGGAGGGGATGCTTATTTTTATTGGCCCGCGGTTTATGTGCTGTGTGTTTGCTTTCTGTTGCTGTAACAGATACCTGAGATAAGTAAACTTATAAAGAAGCAAAGTCGATGAAGGAGAAAGATTAGTTTTAGCTCACAGCTTCAGAGGTTTCCAGTCCATGGTCCCTTGTCCCCACTGTTTTGGGGCTTGTGGCAAGCCACCACGTCATGGTGGGGACGTGTGGAAGAGGAGACTGCTCATAGCAAAGAAAGACAGGAAAGGCGGGACCCCAAAATCTCCTTTAGGGCTCACTCCCAATGACCCAAAGTCCTTCTGCAAGCCTGCACTTCCTAAATATTCCACACTCCCCAATAATACCACAGGCTGGCGACCAAGACTCTGGGGGTCCCTTACCTAAACCACAGCAGTACAGAGTATCTCATGGTGAAAACTCAAGAAGCCGGTACCTGTGGTTGCCTCCGGGGAAGAGAACTAACTGGAGGAAGAAGATGTACTTTTCACTGTCTGCTCTTCTGCACAGTCTGTACCATGTCCATTTATTTAAAAAAAAATAAATAAATCTAAAAACGAAAAAGTACAAGTGGGTGCTTTTCTGGTCTCCTTGGTAAAGTGCCCCTGGGTAAAGACATCATGTGCCCTTGTCAGATGGGAAGATTAAGATCTCAATTGCTGTTTAATTCAAAACTGGGTTCTCTACTTGGAGAGCCAGTAAACAGAAGAGAACAATGAGAACCACAGAAATCACACATGATCCTTGGCTCCCTGGCTCAGACCCCAATTCTTGCCCTCCATGAACACAGACATATTCAGAAATGTCGTAAGCTAAATCTCGACCTCTTGGGAGACCGAAGATGCTCCATCAGTGCCTCCTGATTGGTATCTGTTGCTCATTCATTTTTCTTACGCAAGACTCAGAGATATCAGTGTTTTTAGGTATAGCTAGTTGCCGGCATGTGTCCATTTTCTACACAAAAGAAACTCATTATATTAACGATTGCAATAGAATGAACGGGACCTTTTTCTTGTAAAAAGCCAGGAGGCATCCCAGGGGATGAACACATCCTGTAGAGGAGCTGTATTATTTTGCATTTGTAATTTAAGGGATTAGGAAGCAGTTCTGGAGCTGCCAGCCTTGCATTGTAACGGGACACTCACCTTCTCACGCGGTCCTGCCCTTGACTCTCCCGGAGGTGAGTTCAAATGGCCGCTGTGGGAAGCCAGAAGAGAGGCAGTCCTCCCCGCTAACCATCACAGTCCCCCGGGTGGGCAGCACAGGTTCCTGGGCAGGGAGTAGCGTGGGGGCCCAGGAGGCAGGGCAGTACTGCAGGAAATGAGCAAGGGTGTAGATTTTCTCTCTTTTCAGTTAACGGAGGTTCCTGTCCGTCTGTCTTCTGTTGGCCCAGAAGGAACAGCTCTTCCTGGCTTTGACTCATCAAAGAGGTCTAAGTCAGGATGATTTTCAAACACTACCACAGAGGTCCTAGGAAGTCCCCGGCACTGCCAGGGCCCCTGGAGGCCTGCGGTGACAGGGAGCTGTCCTTGAGACTGGCTTGCCGCTCAGAGCCAGGGTGTCCCCTGAACCTCCCCGTCTGCACTGGCTGTAGGTGTGGCCTGTGGCCTCATCACAGGCAGGAAACGCCAGGGCCCAGCCACCAGCTTTCTCTTGGACAGTCACCCAGTGGGAGGAAGCAGGCCCAGGGGACACGCTGAGGGGACAGAGGGCCGTGGGTTCATGGGTCAGACGGAGAGGCTCGCTGTCCTCTTCCTAGAGCCCGTAGTCACAGGCCATGTTGGATTTGGGGTAGACTTGACTGGAAAGTGCTAGAACAGGGGTCTAGGGCGGAAGTTCCCAGGAAAGGGGGGGGTGACCTCAGAAGGCGCAGTTGCAATGCAGCCATGGTGTCAGCCCCCTGTCCCCGCATCCTCACTCGAGGACCGTGCCCTGACATAGCTGTGAGATTGTTGATTTTCTAAGATGTTATTTGATTAAATGAAAATTTAATCATCTTAAAGGTAATCCAAATGTCTATCGACTATAAACAGATAAATAAAATGTGGCATTTCCAACGCTATTATTCAGCAATTAAAAAGGGGCCAGGTACTAACGCACACTACAAAGTGAACATACCTTGGCCACATGGGGAAAGAAGCTGATCAGGAAGGACCACATGTTATGTGAGACCATTTATATATGAAATGTCCAGAACTGTCAAATCTACGCAGCAGAAAACACATCCGTGGCTGCCTGGGGTATAGGGTTTAGGGGGTAATAACAACGGGGGACAGGATTTCTTTTGAGACCTATGAAACTTCTAAAATTGTGATACTAGTTGCACAATTTTCATTATACTAAACACTTTTCAATCTTTATTTTAAATGGGTGAATATTACAGTATGTGAATTGTAACTCAATAAAACTGTTAAAAGTTATCATATAGTTACACAGTAGAATACTATGCAATTGTGGAAGAGTGGGACGCTGTTTGTGCACTGATGAGTAATGGTTAAAAGAATAAGAGCAGAGAGGGATGTCGCCCCGTATGTTCCACACATGGAGAGAAAAGCACATATACCTAATTTTGCTTGTGTGGGCATTGAAAAACCATGGAGAGAAAGCCCAAGAAATGAAGTTCAGCGTTACCTGGGGGAGGAGAGAACAGTGGACAGACAGCAAGGGTGGGAGACAGTTCTCACTGTATATTCTTCATGCTTCAAAGAATTTTAAATGTGCTTGTGCATGCAAGCTCGTGTGTGTGTGTGTGTGTGTGTGTGTGTGTGTGTGTGTCCTATTCAATAGCAAATACACTCATTGACCAGATGTAAACTTTCGCCTCCTGCTGTCTCTTGCTCTGGATGGACCATGTCATTCCTGCTGTGCCCTGGGGACAGGCACTTCTGACACTGCCAATGTGAGGTGGAAGGTTCAGAGCCCTGTGGCCCCGGATGATAAGGGGAAGATGGCAGTGACCAGGGCTGGGGGGTCAGGGGTCTCCCCCTGGCTGTGCCCTTGCTGTGTGACACCGGGCCAGTCCCCACCTCGTAAGCCACAGTTTCATAGATAGAGTGGAGCCTCAGCAGGATCCCACATCCTCCTGAGGAAGGCCTGGGGCTGTCCTGTGGAAAGGGCCGCTCCCTTAGTAGGTGTCTGAATCCACAGGTGGCGTGGGGTAAGGAGGGGGCATCCGAGCCTGGTGTGCAAGAGGAGGAGGTGGAGAGAGTGTCATTGGTGGGTTTTGGCTTTCAGCTCAGGAGAAGGTTTTTGTGGGAAGTGGGGAGCGGGGAATTCCAGAAAAATGAGGAGCCACTGGGAAAGCGGCCTCTGTGAAGCCACCGCTGGGCTGCGAGTCCTCCCAGCCCACACTGCGGGGACCACCAACGTTAAGGAATGTCCCGTGTCAGGCACTGCCCAGCTGTCTAACGGGCACCTTCTAGAGTCCTGTGAAGCAGGGGTATTATCTCTGCTTAAAGAGGGGACCCGCAGGCTCAGGGAGGTGACTGGCCTAACGTCACATACCTCATAGATGCCAGAGGCTGGTTTCCTGACAGTCCTCCTTCCACCTCCTGAATGTCACCTTCCAGACAGACCCAGAGCTTCGCGCTGTGGCCCTGCAGGCTGAACTGTGGACCGTCTCTGGGGGTCATGCTGCTACTGGTCTTGGAGACCAGCATCGGTCCTCCTCCCCCGCCCCGTGTTGAAGAATAAACACTGCGAGACATTGCATCAAGTGTAGAAAGAGAGTTTTATCTAAGAAACGGACAGAAACACACTTCTCCAGAGAAAGTTTGGCCCCGAGCTGGATGCCCGTGGGAATGGGCCTGTCTTGCTCTTTTGTAGACCCCCAGAATCTCACCACTTCCTCTTTCTTCTCTGTGTGTGCGCCCCAGGGCAGGAAGGCATGGCTGTGTTGGGAAGTGCTGTCCCTGATCCCAGGAGGTCAGCTGTTAGCAACCCAGGTCCTCGTCCTCTCAACCCCCACATTCATTAGCTACCTGCACTGCAGGCCTTCCGCATTTCCTGACCCCTCAGGCCAGATGGGCTGCAGGCAGATGGCTTTTGGGCAAAGAAAGCGTCTGGGGAGTCGGAACAGTGGGCTCATTTAATCCTCCTAGCCCCGTGATCCCACCATCCATTACAATACGCATGACCTGAGATCTCTCCCTGTCGGCCAAAACTAACCTAGGAGGTTAAAAGTCCGGACAACGCACAGCCTTCAGGTGAGGATGACGGTATGGGGGACTCAGCCCTGGTGAAGTTCTGCACAGGATCAACCCTCGGAGCTGCTGTCTGTGCCGTGAGCACTTTGCTGTACCCATTTGCGCTTCAGTGTGAACCTCTTCCCGCTGTCTGGAAAGCCCTGATGGTCGGTCCACAAGCTTAAGGTCCATAAGGAAAATGCAAATGTATTTTCAACTGGGACTTTCCATCTGGACAGGGCCACCTGGTACCGTCTGATGAAGAGTGTCCGGGTCTGGGTGGGGGTGAAGATTCCAAATCATGGTCAGCGCAGGGGCTGGGCAGCCGCCTGCTTCTCAGGCAGCACGGGTGACCCCCAACTCCTTGTCCTTCACCAATGCTTACGTAACAGTGAGTGGAGCCACCTGTACCCCCAGGAGGGCCAAGGATTTTCTTCTGACCTGTGCAGGCCTCCCCAGGCCTCTGGCTCAACACACTGAGGCAGACAGTGAGCTAAACATAGTCAAGCAGAGACACTCACCAGGAAATACTTGTCTGATTGCTGTTCTGGGAGAGAGAATTCCAGGGTCCCTTGTACTTTTGACATTAGAGACCAAATTCTCCCAAGGGCCTGGGGTTTTTTTCCCTTCCCCTGTCTGCCGAAGATCCAGCCCCCTTACAAAATGCTTAAATCGGGAGTGAAGGTGGCAGTGATGTGGATTTGACTCTCCAAAAATTTTTAAAAAGAAAAGAAACAAGTGCTTTTGCATTTTGGGTGTTGGAACTGAATTTTTTTTTTTTAAGTCAACCAGTAAATCCTCATATGTACCCTGCCCTTTCTCAGGAGAATGTCACGGGAGGCAGGACCCACCAGCCAGCCTCAGTGTCCCTCTGTGCACTATCCTCAGGGAGGAAAAAGACAGTGGAGGAGCCCTGTGGATTGCAACCAAGATGCTTCCCTACCCTCCTCCTCCAGAAAAAGGACTCCTGAAGGTTCCAGATGTTTCTGCCTGGGGTGGGGGTAGAATCTTCCAGAAGACGTTTTAGGACATGCTTTGCAGACTCCTAAGATCTTTAGTTGATATGTGGCTTTTGCCTGTCCTTCCAACGCCACCCTTCTCTTCTCCAGCCTTTAGGGACACTGAATGTCACTGTTCATCACTGGCAAGGGCACAGGAAGGCCCAGGGTCTTTAGTACAGGAAGACCCACTGGCAGGCTGGCTTTCCACTGATTCTGTGGGACTCTGGTCAAGTCACTTCAGCTGTATAAAAAGGTGACAAGCTGTGACATGAATGATTCCACAGAGTCAACAGGGCAAACGCCATCACGCCTCGCTTCTTCTCCTAGTTAATTATTTGCATTGCCACCTGCCCGGTGGCAGAACCTCCTGTGCTTCCCTCCCTCTTAGGGCCTTCTGGCTGACCAGGCCTCCCAGGCTTGGTGCGGGTGAGCAGGGTGGCTAGTCTGGCTGCCCAGCCAAGCCAAGTGGAGTAACCCTCTGCTGCTGTGGCTTCCAGCTGCTCCCCGGGGACCTCTGCTGAACACCGGCCCCGTGTAGTTGGCCCAGATGCTGAACAGGTCTCCAGACTTCAGTGGTGTCCCTCAGGGACACTCTGGCTTGGGGTACTGGCTGCAGCAAGCACACAGCAGAACAGGACGCCTCTGCTCCTCCCCCACTCGGCCCTGGGGAAGGAAGGGCCACCAGGCCACCCCACTTCCCAGCTCCCTCCACCGCTGCAGCTGCCACAAAGCAGAGCCTCAACCAAAATCCAGTCCAGACTTTTGGTTGTGACACAAGATGGCACAGTAAAACTGTTCCCAGCCTAAGATGGCAGGGGCAGGGAGAGATGACACCGCTCAGTGTGAAGGGCCCACAGAACAGGTGTAAGGAGCCGTGAGAGCAAAGATAAAGCTGTGTTGTTATCAAACCCACGGGTCTTGTCTGTAAGGATGTGGTCACCCTGGAGACGCCCTGGGATGCTGAGCCCCTTTTCAAGAGCGAGTCAAAAGAAAGTGTCTATTGGTTCCCATGAGCAAGAAGCAGGAAGGGCAGAGCCGACCTGAGGGGCAGATCCAGGAGCACCCGGGCTCTCCTTCTCCATCTCTGCCCTGATGGCCTCCTGCTGCAGGTGCCCAGACTCACCCTCAACAGTTCCACCACCGGCAGGGAGGGCCCTTTGTTGTTTGTCCAGCCAGGGAAATTCCAGGGTGTGGCTCTCACAGGACTGAGTCAGGAGACCGCTGCGATGACCACTATAGAACTGGGATGCTGGTCGGAGATCGAGCCTCTCTGTAGCCCACGCTCAAGACAAAAGCTAACCTGTCCTAAGCCACTGGCTGCACCATGGAGCACGGATTGAAAAGGGACAGAAATTGGGGGCATAAGCCAGGCAGGAGCTGAGGGCGTCTGAAAGACAGTAGAGGGAGAAGTCTGGAGAGAAGACGATGGACAAAGAGATTTTAGAAGACAGACTGTACAGAGCTTGGTTAGTTGGTGTGGTGGGTTGAATGGCGAGTCCCTAAGAGATACGTCCACTTGGGACCTGAGAATGTGACCTTATTTGGAACAAGGGCTCTTGCATAAGTAAGTTAAGGATTCTGAAATGACAGCATCCTGGATTAGAGTGGACCCTAAATCCAATGACAAGTATCCTTATCAGAGACAGAAAAGGAGGGGACACATGGGGAAGGAGACCCGGCCAAGGAAAAGGCAGACTGGAGTGACAGGGACACAAATCAAGGAATCCTGAAATCACCTGAAGTTTCAAGAGGAAAAGTCTCCCCAGATTAAGTGTAGGCATTCTGGCACGTGTAAGTGGACCCCGGGACTTCAGGAGAATAAGTTTTAGAAGGTTCAAGCCAACAACCATGTGCTAATTTGTTGCAGCAGCTCTTAAGAACTAATACATTTGGATCTAAATGTAAGCTATACATCCATCATATAGGAGAGTCATTCTGAATAAAATCAGACTTGTATTGGTTCATTTATTCAAATATTCATTATAAATGATTTACTAAGCACCTCTTATGTTACCATAAGACACAGATAAGTGCTGGGGATACACAGGAGAGCAAGGTCGATTCCCTGCCTTCAGGGAGCTTCTCTCTAGTGGAAAGAGAGACAAAAAACCAAGTAAGTAAGCAAGGAAACAAACAAAAGTAATAAAAAATGGACTTAAACCACAAGGAAACAAATGAGCTGCAAAAGTAGGGAATGAAGAGATGGAAGAGGAGATCTTTCTTTAGGAAGAATCATCAGAAAACCTGGTCAGTCTAAGCAGGAAAGCTAGTAGCTTTCTAATTTTATGTTCTCTTAGATTAGTCAGCCACTAGGTATGGCCTGAGAAACAGAGAATTAACTGCACCCAAAAAGGTACATTTAAAAATAACGACTGCAACAAAACCCCAGGAGAAGGTGACCAGCTTCATTAGCAGTCAGGGAAACAGAAATCGCACCACACTCAGGGAGGACTCAAGGAGAAGAGGAAACCAGCAGGTGTCGGGGAGGCCTGGGTCAGGGTGCAGCTGCTCTGGTAAGGAATACGGAGGTTTCCCAGAAAGTCAGTCCTAGGAACCCAGAGTGGTTCTGCAAACGCTCCCCAGATATCCACTTCTTGGAATCTACCCGAGAGAATTTGAAAGAGCCATTCAAACAAGTACTTGCACACGAATTCTGTTCACAGAAGCATCATTCACAACTGCCAAGAGGTGGGAATAACACCTGCGTTTGGGTGAAGGGACAGATGTGAAGAGAACGTGGGGCCTGCGCACAATGGACGGCTGTCCAGCCATAAGAAGGAATGGAGCCCTGACCGGCTGCCACATCCATCATAGAGACAGACACACAGGTGAAGTGAGCCAGACGCAAAAGGCCACACAAAATGGCTCTATTTGCATGAAACATCCAGAGTGGGTAGATCCACGGAGACAGGAAGCAGAGTCCAGTGGCCGGGGAAGGGGACGGGGGAGTAGCTGCTCCATAGCGGGAGCTTAGTTTCCTTTTGGTCTGATGAAAACGTTTGGAACTAGACAGAGGTGCTGGTGGCCCAACATTGTGAATGTACCAAGTGTCACTAAATCACACACCCTAAAAAGGTAGATTTTATGTAACGTGACCTTCACTTAGTAAGAAGACAAACAGCCCAATAAAAAGTAGGGCAAAGATTTGAAATGATACCACCCAAGAAGATGCACCAGTGTCCAGGAAGCACGTGAAAGGACCCTCAACTTCACAGTCTTCAGGGAACCGCCATCCAAACCACAGTGACGCATCGCCCCGCTCCCACTAACGTGTTTATCATCCTAACAATGGACAAGGGAGAGTGTCAGCCGGGCTGCAGGGAAACAGGAACTCTCACCTCTTGCGGGTGGGAACGGGAAATGCTGTGGCTACCCCTGCAAAATAATTTGGCCGTTTCTCAGGAGCTGAATAAATCCCTTATGACTGGGCAATCCCACTCCTGTTCATCGGCCCAAGAAAAATGTACATCTACG